AAAATTGACGTCGCTTTTAAGCTTGCGTCGGTCGGTAAGCCGGATGGCGTCATTGTCCAAGCAACTCTTGAACACCAGTCTAGCAGCGCGAATTTCCTTCGCGCACTTGTTTATGCATCTCCGGCGTCAAAGCACCTGCCTAAAATTTTTCTTGCTTGGTCAAGCAAGACGCAAACTGTCGCCATCCAAAGGAACAAACGAAGGGGCCTTAAAGTTCTTCGGCAATCGGATCAAGAAGTCTTCGTCACCAGCTGCAAAAGCAAGCAAACTGTCGTCACGGCAGTCAGCCAATGCATCAGAACCCGTATCCTCACCAACATCCGGCACAGGAGGTTTCGGGGTAGGGCAAACAGGAACTGGAGCCGGACCAGACGACGAAGAAGCCGGCTCGGGGTCCCCGCAGGGTGCACCATCCGCGACTTTGCCTGTGACCTATCATCCGGATGAGTGCCACGAGCACACGTCTGTGACACATTCCCAGGTGACGGCGGTCTAAGACTTTGATTTGCGGAACAGGAAAATGAGGATGTGGAGGAATCGGACCCGGAATGATGGGAGTGGCTGGCGCAGGCCAAGGCATAGGTGGACTCAAGACTTGATTGGGGTTAGCAAACAGAGGAACAGCTCCACCAGCACCAGGCAGACCTCTAGGAGGACGTGACTCATCAATATCCTCCTTGGGAAGAGGCTTTTCATTCCACTAAGGGCTGACAGAAAACAATGTCCTCCTCGGGAAGAGGCTTTTCATCCCACTAAAACCTGGCGGAGGTCGTCCACCGTTGTCTGTCGGATCATAGGGCCAGGTCCGAATCCTCGTCCGGTACCGGCACCTGCGCACCGCCTCTTGGAGGAACAGAAGGAGGATCACCACCACTACCAAGCTCAATCGGATCATCATTAAGATCCGGTTGAGGCTGATGGCCTTGCAGCGGTGGCATGTCCTCATCATCCACTGGCATTTCGCCGCACCGCGGATCTTCGTATCCTGGATAGTCCACATCGTCGCCAGCACCAGGAGGTCGCGGCGGCAAATCTGGAGCAGGTGCGGGCTGATCGGTAAAATCCAACCCGACATCTGGCTCCCGACAGGCAATCGGACCTTTCGACTCATTCCAAAACACAATCATCCACCAACTGTTTGCTGTCATATCCTTCTCAGACATGGAAGGAGTTGAGACATCCAAGAAAAACACATGATCATGATCACCCTTGTTCCACAGAATCACAACTGCATCAGGATGACGATGACCCGACGGAAATGTCTTTGCATATGTCCCCCCTGTAGGCATTGCAACACTCAACCTCCAGGTAAGGACACGTAAGCACTCGCACATTCTTGATCATCGGCCGCAAGGCAGGCGCGTCATGAGACGCGTGTGAACTTTCAACTCAGTACCCGGAAGCATATTGTCAATGTACGCCAGAGTCTGGACCAAAGACGATGTAACAAAACGTCGTGGAGCGACAAAATGAAGTGATTCCGCAGCTTCCCTTTTTAGTTGTTCGACAGAATCGAATACTCTTCTGACGAGGGAAGAACTGGCAATGCTTCAGAATTACGATCCGATAGCAAGCCTCCAGTGGCTTCTTTCATTCTCGCGCTGTCTTCAGGTGTACCCCTCCTGACCAAATCCGCTGGTGAACCTACCTTGCCACGGGCAGGACCACCTGTCTTAGCCGGCACCGAGTAAAGGGAGTATCCTAAAGATCGTCCTACCTTCCCAGGAGTCAGTAGACTTCGTGGTAGGAAGCTCAGCGACCTTTCCTTCATCTTCTTGAGTAGCAATCTTGTTCTTGGAGAACTGCATGATCGTCTTGCGCTTGGTGTCCAGGAACTCCCCTGAAATTGGCGTAGTCCCTTCCTTGGGTGTGTACTTTGCCTTCCTCATCTGCTTGCGGACACGAATGAGCGGGTGACTCATTATCGCTCGCAAAGACGAGGCTTTCGGGGTCCTCTTCCTGTGAAGAGCTTCACAGAATCTTCTGATGGAAGCCGCACTCGTAATGCGAAAAGTAGGTGACGAAGCTCGACTTCTTGCGTTTGTCAAAACGAACGTGCCACATGAACTGACTTAGGTCAAGTGAGCTTGGCTCCACGTGCAGCTTCACTTTTCTGATTCCCAGTACAGGACTATACTGAGATACGCTTTGTCCGGATGGAGGTCAAACTGGAACCTGAGATTGCGCCTTTGTTGCAAGGACATGAGTGTGGGAACATGACCTCGCTCAACAATGTCAAACTCGGTGGACTGGACCGTGTACTCCCTGTCGTTCTGCTAGCACTTGGTCGACTCGGAGTTGGCAGAGGGAAGTAGTCTCAGCGATGTTGTACCAAATGCCACAGTCCCTGTTCTGATCGCAGAACTTCATGAGGTCCTGCGCCGATGGCCGAAAAGTCATCGCCCTTGTGCGTCCCAAATCCAACACCATCGAAGTCGGTGTCAGGGGCTGAGCGATGAATGCTTCCTTCTCTTCAGTGGCCATGAAAGAAGAGTTCGAGAAGTTGGTGCGGTCAACGGAGAAGGTTGCGGCAGCAGCCGTAGCTGTACAGCTCTGGGCAGCACCGGCAAGTTGAGACGATCCATCCTTGGATCCGGACTTTCAGTCCTTTCCATCTTTTCCGTACTTGCCTTTTCCTTTGCCCTTCTTCCCTTCTTTCCTTTGCCTTGAACTTGAACTGCATAGGACTCCTCGCAATAGTCCCAAGACCAATCATCCCACAGGGATCTTGCCATTGACTATCATGCCATTTTTTTCTGCTTGCCAAGCGTCTGTCTGATGATCATCGGCTTAGTTTGACCTGCTTTTGCGTTTCTTGAAGAAGCGCCTTCCACCGGATCCTTTGCCTCCAGGTAGCCTGCCTCGATCACCAAAAAAGAGGAGAGGATTATCGACGGAAGTCTTGGTCGTGCAAAAGATCTCGAGGTAGACCTCACGAAGCTCGTTCAGGCGGTAGTCTGCCAACACGCGGTTCCTATAGGCCATCAGAGATGTCGAAACCTGTCGCTGATCCTGCGTGAGGTCGGACAGTGAGACAAAGATGAGGGCAACGAAATTGGCCGTAATCGGAGAATCGTCCTCGCACGTTGGTCTCTGAGCCTCTCGTTGGCTGTCCATCGCATCTCTTCTGGTGGAGGTCCTGCACGAATGCTCGGACCTCTGCGTTGTGGGGGTCCGTGATCGGAGACGCGCGTCGTTCCAGGCTTTTTGAATCCCTTGAACAGAGGTAATCCAACGAAGCATGTCTCCATTATTGTGATGCAAGTTCATGAACTGCTGGAAAAGGTAGGGGAACACATTGGCTGCGCCCTTCACGAAGAGCGGCCAGCTCTTCCAAAGGTTGCATATCGCTGGTCCTCTCTTGTCATTGTCCAACTCAGTCATAACACACCAATCATCGATCGCATCTTCATTGGCGAACCAACTGCCTCCACCGTCATAAGACGGCGGTACTTTTGTGGCCACCTGCTGGAAGGCTGAAAGTCGGTGTACTTCTTGGAGATGTCGGTGATTTGTTGCATATGGTCCATTTCTGTGAAGGAGGTTATCATCATCTCCATCGCCATGCTCAAAGGGCACCGCAGAGTGGCTAGCCATTGCGCTATCCTAATCGAGCCCCGGGAGATTGCTCTTCCGGTTCTCTTCGCCTGCACGAAGTGTACCGGAGAGACTCGGAGAGACTCCGGTCACCTTCAAAAAAGTGAAGCACACCGGGGATCCGGTTGCCTCCACTAGGATGGAGCGCACCTACGGTACCTCCACCTGTGTGA